ATATTACAAAGTAAGGACAATCTATAAATCTCAAAACCATCTACAATCATAAGGTGGGTTCATCCCTTGAATCGAAAAGCATCAAAATAATAAAATCCCAAATACTAGGAAAACATGTTTGAAGAATTTGAAAAACTCCAAATAGTACGTATCCTACATTATTATAAGAAAGTTTCTTCCAACCTGAATAGATGTCACTCGCATAATCAAATGAACATGATGCTAATGAAAGTATTCTAATTTGTCAACGGCAGTTAGGTTAAATCGTATGGAACTTAGTACAATTTAAGCAAAATCTTGAATTCAATCTTTGTGAATGGCAAGAAACACATTGGAAGAGCTCCCCTAATTGGGACCTAGCCCAACACGATTTTGGATTGAACGGTAGTATTAGATTTCATATGATTTATCACCCAAAAAATATCTAATTTTGGTGCATTTTACAAACATTAGGAGGAAGATTAAAAAGCAACCATGACCTTCTTCAAAACCCAAAAAAATTGGAAAGGGTGAAATTATATCTCACAAAATTAAAATAATGGTAGGAGATTTTAATAGCTGAAACAATTCGCATAAACAAAAATAATTGACATTTCAAAAGGGCATAATTGGTCAATTTGCATTTGATTTTAGGTAGAAATATGGAAATGGACTGTTTCTAAGCATGGAATGTGAGTTGTGGAGTGAAAATATAAAAACAACAGTTCCATAGAAATCCAATGCTATTCACATATTGAATCAGCCATGAAAAAATAGGGTAAATGTGCAAATTTGACCATATATTATTTTTTTTAGAAGCATCCTAAACTATCAAGTGATACAAAATAAATTATCAATTTTAAAAAATGGAGCATCTAGAAACCTGCCATTAATTTCACCTAAGGAATATTATGTGAGGCCCACAACAACACGTGACACTCCACGTTAGCATGTGTAAAAATGCAAATTCAGTCATGAACTATTTTTCAATGAGCATTAAGTAGCCCCTACTATGAAAAACAAACTATCAAACACCTTTCCATCAATTTTGATTAAACACGGTTTATTTTCAGACTTATGAGATTCACAACGCATCAATCTCTTTTATTTTCTTGTTTTTGTTCTCAGTCTTAGCTCGAGAAGAAGAGGTTCAAAAAGTTCTTAACAAGTTTCTACTTCATTAGCATTGTCTTCGTAAATGTCTTCAGATAAAAACTTTTTAAACATTTTCTTATCAAGATGACATTGAGAACAAAAGCAAGAAGATTAGAGAGATTGACGCGTTGTGAGCCTCATAAGTATGAAAATAAATGATGTTTGATCAAAATTAAGAGAAAGGTATTGAATAGTTCATTTTTTATAGTAGAAGCTACCCACTGCTCTTCCGAAAATAGTTTGTAGCTAAATGTAAACCTTTACATTTGCTGACGTGAAGTGCTAGTGAAGTGTCATGTATCATTGTGGGCCCCACATAATATCCATTAAGTGAAGTTAATGGCATGTTACTAGATGTTTCATTTTTTAAAATTGATTTATTTCACACCACCTGATAGTTTAGATTACCAAACATTCTTGAAAAAATAGTACATGGCCAAATTTGTACTTATATCCTAAAAAAAATGCATCAGTTTCAGAATCTTCCATGGTTATAAAATAGAGTTGAATAGTCTCGTAATTGTTGACATCAAACCCGGCGCAGAAAAATGCAGCTATTCTGAAATGCAATATTTCATATATCAGACAACTGAACAAATCCCAATGCAACAAAGCTTTGGCATTCTAGCAAAATTTAATGGGCAGAATTGTCAATCAAAATTTATAATTAAGCACCTCCGAAGCAAAAATACATCGAATGTCTACTCAACGAGTCTGCCACAAGCCTAACACTTTGCAACAACGCAAAAACAAGAAGGAAGATTAAAGAGGGGAAGGACAAAAATTAAGCGAAGGTAAGTTAAAGAAGAACCTGGTGGTCACAGTTACGGCAAGCATAGAGAAGAATCTTCTGCTCCTTGTCCTCTTTAGGATAAAGAATGTTGTTGCTGAAATCAAAAGGTGAAGAAAAAAGTGTGAAAATTGAAGCCTAAGTTCAGTGCAATAAAAGCGTCGTAATGAGGAAGGTAAGGAAAACAGGTAGCAACCATTCGCGGCAAAACTTCATAGTACTCATCTTGGAAGGACGATGAAGAACGAGATGCAGGAGGCGAGACTGAAACCCCGCCGGGGGGGGGGGGGGGGGGAACAAAACCTGAAACTTCCGGAAAACAGAAGGCTCAGGGTTTTTCGGTTCTCGCGGGTATGGGTCGCCTTGGTGTGTTTTGGCGGGCACTTATGCCAAAATCTCCCCTCTTTATTATTTATTTATTTATTTTTTATGCCGAGAGCATTCTAGAATTTAAAAATTTATAATTATTAACGGTATATAACTAAATTTTCAGAGTCTATTTAAAAAAAGAAAGCTCAATGGCTTTTAAAATAAATAAAAATTTAAGAAAGAATGATAATTAGATCCAAAATGTTAAATTAATGATAATTATGTTTTTAATAATTTTTTTAAATTGAAAATATCAATTCTGATTATAATAAATTTAAGAGTTAGGTCCAAAATGTTAAATTAATAATAATTAAGTCTTCAATAAATTTTTTTAAAAAATAAATTAAAAATACCAATTCAGATTATAATAAATTTAAGAGTTTTAATTATAATTAAATATTTAATTATCAAATATTACTTTTAAATTTAAGAAAATTTTTTATTTATAACTATTTAAATTAATGTTTATAATTTATTTTATAAAAAATTATTAGAAATTTAATTATTATTATTAATTTATTCCTTTAAAATTTAGCTGTCATTCTCCCAAAATTTATTTTAAAAAATTCAAAGAGGTGGTGTTGATGTATGATAATCCCAACTTCACTGTAAAAACTAAAAGTCTCTTTCTCTCTAATAATCCCAACCTCACCGTAAAAACTCTCATTTTGACGAGAAATTTCAAAGCCGGTCGAGAAGCACATGGAAAGGGATTATTATTGTTTCTGTTGTTCATGACTATTTTTGTTAAAAAAAAGATCTTGATTATATATATTTTTTAAATAATACATGATAATATATTCTAATAAGGAACCCAAAAAAAAAAATCTAGCTCACATGTAGAGTTTGAATCTTTTCATTATCTACCACTTTCCTATTAAGAAGTAAGGGTTGATCAAAAAATATAAAAGCTATATATAAAGCATGCCTAGTAAGATTATGGACACAAAAATTAATTTCTCTATATATAACGTTTTAAAAAAAAAAATTAAAGCTGTGCAGACAATTTCTTGCACACTCGATAATTTATTTGAATAGATATTGATTGCATCAGTTGTGATCAAGTTGATAACCTCAGTGCAATTTGTGAAAATATTTATTCTTTGAAGCTTGAATAGATTATAACAAAGATCAAAACTTGTACCACCCCAATAATTTTAGTGATGGTAAGAGGAAATTGACCAACATTGAAGTTAAACCCCACAACGCACTGAGCTTGACTATCCTTGTCTACACTTAGAAGAATCATTCTTATAATTGCTCTCTTTTTCTTAAATTATAAAATAATTTGAGATAAGATTATGCATATCAGTAAAGCTCAATAATAACATTTTACAAACTTACTTTTTTAAAATAAAAATATAAACTTTTAAAAATAACCTTCATTAATATAACTTTAAATTTACAATCATTTCAAATCTTTTTTCAATTGAAGGATAATATTAAAAAAATATTATTAATAAAACTTTATTTTTATCAAATTGTCTTATATTTTGAAATAATAAAATTCCTCTAGCATTGTCTTATAATTTGAAGCAAATGGAATATAAAATAGTAAAGGGTTGGAACACATTTCTTTTTCTTCCTCAATGCGTTGCTTAATCACCACGTATAACGGTTAAATCATAATAGACTTAGCTTGATGTTTACAAAAGATGCATAGGATTAAGAGCAAGAGTTCTCTTGTTCTCTAGAAAAATTTTACTCCTAGATTTCAAAGAGTATGTATGATCTTAGAGATCTCCTTAAAATCAACTTGATTCTAAAGAGATCTCTTAAGAGGATTAAGGTTGTTTCCTTGATTTGATACGCCCTCCAAAAACTACCATAACCAGTAATTAGAAATTCAAATTCCAAATCAAAATAAAAGGTAACCAAGCTTGTCAAAAATAATTAATCAAGTTGAATTTATTGGGGCCGAGTCTATTTTTCTCAACCATTAAGGGTGGATTCTATATATCCCAACGCTGATTGATTGGTTCACTATACACTTAAATGTTGATGTGAAATAAATTCATTGAGCTAGAAGTAGAATAATCCTCACAGGTAGGTTTTGTTATAGTGTTTGACTAGCGAAAGTAAAGTTGAAGTTAGCATGATGGAGAGCATGCTTGAAGGGCAAGAATAAAATGAGTATTTAGTTGTCCTTGCGAGTAGCATTAACAGAAACCAGCTCTGAAGAATCACAAGCTGTATTTCTATCCCGATTTTGCAAGAGGTTGAATCTGTGGAAGGAAAATGAGCTTGAAATTGAATGCTGCTTATTTCCCCTGTTCACAAAAGCTGGTTTATTCTGCTAAATCGATAAGAAACTGTCCATCAGAGTAACTTGGTTGTGTTGGTAGTGTGTGTGGTTTCATGTTGAAAGCCATTAAAACCATATAATCTCAGTAGAAGCAGCTAATTACATCATCCAAAAGCCAAGGATATAGAATAGAATGATACAGGATAATAATTTCAAGTATCATATTCTGATATGCAACCAAGGATCAGAACCAGTTTATTGAATCAAAACCAGATCAAGCATACCACTAGAAAGTCATCAACTGAGCGTGATTGAGTTAAATGCCAGATGCAATGGGTTGAATTTGTTAATGAGCTTGAGTGCTGCTTATTTCCTCTCAACAACGTCCACTAGCTTCAACTGTCTCATTCAATGACCTAATGGAGTTTAGTCTAACATATATAATAGATAGCTCCAGTATAATAACCCCAACTCCAAGTGTCTTATTTCAAGCATCGCAGTCTGATATCAGACCAAGGATCATAACGTTATTGAATCAAAACCAGATCAGGTAAATCATAACAGAAGGACGAGTAAAGAGGGTGTTAGACTCAAACGCTAGTGCACAAAATATGCAGGCATATAACCTAACAATTACACACAGTGATTGAATTATTATGACCCAGAATAACACTTCCATTAAGAACACCTTGAGTGAGTCCCACTAGATTGGTGACGCCATTGATGTTTTGCTTTCCGCTGTTGCCAAACAGGCCTATCGCTGCCGACGTGGGAACCGGAGTTGCTGGATTAGTATGGTGGTGCTGGTGGGAAGTTGTTGCTGGTAGTGGTAGTGAAACTTCTGAGATGCTCTTTGCTTTATTGAATTTCGATGTGGTGGGGCTCTTGAACTTGGATTTGTTATCGAAGAGATTGAAATCCTCGTCGTCGTCGTTGGTCCCAAATAGATCGTCATCGTCCTCCTCCTCCTCCTCCATAAAAGCAACTTGTCTGGTCTTACCCTGCCAACTCATATAGACTTATTGGATTCGGAACCTGTTACTGTCTAGTCTAGGACATACTTGAAGGAGCAAGGTCGTTTCCTTATAATAAGTTATACATGTATCTACATGCTAGCGTGAATTCAAAGCTAGTGATAAACAATTAGTTGAGTATTGCTCACGGATTCGGTTACAAGATAAGATCATCCCAGGCTAGAGTTTTTATTCGTTTATATCAATATTATACCGATATAGGATAGATAAAGCACAAATAATGCTATGTGATTTTTTAAGTTTTGTTTATTTATTTATTTATTTTTGGCGAAATTAGAGACCTCTCCTTTATTTTCTTTTCAATCAGTTAATAGAGTCATGTCCATGAGCAACATCAATCATCATCGGCACCGAAAGACTATAAGCACCGATCAAATAACAGCTATAATTAATGCTTTCTTAGATACAATCATCAAATAGTGGGTTCGGTGAATATCCTAAGCACGCTCACTCAACACGATAATAGTTTGATTCAATTGAATAGTTGTTAATGATTCTATTACATACTACTAAAAAAAATATCAAATTTCAAATTTTAAGAGGATATACTACAAGTAAAGAGTGTTCTAATAGCATAGTTTTAAATTTTTAAAAAGAAATATAAATTAATAATTTTCAAGTATCATTTTATCTGCTGTAATTGAGACAAACACTCATTGAATGAGTAATGAGTATATTTAGAACACTTACTGAATTCAAGTCTATAAATAGGAAATGATTAAAAGGCAAAAACTAATAAGTGATCACTTGTGTCCTCCCTTCGAGTTTGAACTTGGGAAATTATATAAAAGAAAAAACATTCGATAACACGAGAAAGCCTTTGATCAGAAAGTCATTAATGGTGGTGACAAAGTTCAAAAGGAAACCATTACAACTACAACTACATCTAAAACATGAACAACATATATCTAAGAGAGGGATTTTTTTTTTTTTTTTTTGGCGTGTGCTTGAGGTATGGAAAAAAGAAAACTAACATAAAAGCCAGTCTCAGCTCAGAAGATCCAAGAGAGGAGATTGGCGGCGGCGGAGACGGCGGCTCCAGTTATTGCACTTTGCACAATCTTCTCGTGAGATGAGTTTTCTGATGTAAGCGCAAGTGTGGCCCCTGTGAGTGCTCCTACTACTGCACTGTTTTTCTGCACAAAACACCATTAATCATGACATCATGTTTCATTATTTTAAGGAATGCTAAGATCATGCTTTATAAACTTGAGGAGGCAAATCGCTGTTTGAGAAGATTTACCCAATCATGAACTCCACGAGCCTCCTTTAGGCCATAGGTGAGTCCTGAATATAATCCGGCAGCCAACCCTGCATTAAGACTTCATATCTTATAAGGTTACAAATTTCTCAACATGTCGAAATTAATGACTGGATTTTTTACTAAAATAACATTGCCATTGTCATACAAGTTTGGTTAAACAGATTGAAATAGCTCAGCTTAATTTGCCTTGTAAACTTGATAACTAGATAATACATTCTATTGATTAAACAGAATCAAGGGAATTCACGTTCTTGTACATGCAAAAGCAGAGGAGATAGACGTTAAGGGTATGTATCATGATTACCCCATTGAAAGGACTCCTTTCCGCTATTCTTGACCTGAGCAGGCCAAAAAAAAAGGGGGGGAAAAAGGAATTAAGACTATGAGACATAAAAGGTTCGAAATAAAAGTACAGGGAACAAATAAGTATACAAGCTTAGGTTGCTTATAACTCACCATGGCCTCGAGAGATTTACCGTTAGTCTCTCCTGGACGAAATCATAGAGCAAAAGCAACAACAACAATACGGCCTTAATTTGTGCAAAGTAAACATGAAGGAGAGTTAGAAATGCGAAAATTAGATGGCGGAATAAGTTGTACCTCCAAGACCGGGAAAACGAGCTTTTCTGGCATCTGAAACATCAGGCACGATGCCGCTAGCATTATCAATGCCCGCACCTAGGAATCAATTTTATGTATAACATAAAATGGATGGCGATTTCAGGAGAAGCAAGCATGAAGTTGAACAGAAAAGCAGAGATGGATGGATGGAAAAGACGAAGAGGGGGAGAAGCATTGCACCTTCAACAGCCGTGAAATAAGCCTCACGGGCCACGGCTTGGACAGCTCCTATCTGCAATATTCATTTTATGGAAATAAGGAAAGCATAAAAAAAGAATAGTGAAATAGAGCGCTATCATAATGAGGCATGTACTTCAAAAGTGGCGATGATTAAGAAAGAAAATGAAAGTACCGCAGCAGCTTTGAGGAAGCTGTTGGAGACGCGATTGAGGAGAGGGTGACCGAAGTCGAAGAGAGGAACTTCGTTGTCAAAGCTACGAAGCTCCTGCATCAGAGATCGGGAATCCAAGTTGCTGCTGCTCATTTTCCTCGCCGATATGATGCTTAATCAAAACACCTCTATTCTCTTGTTCTATTGTGTTCTCAAGCATGCAATAATGCGCCACGCTCAAACTTCCTGATATGCGCGATGATGATGTTGCTTCGACTGGCTTCCACAACACGTTACACGTGTTATTTCCACTCACGCGTGCCTCTTTCTGTTTTTGCCAACACGTTACACGTGTCTCCCTTCTCTGCTTGCATTTTACTGATCTGAACCTTACCCGTCCTTTTTTTCTTATTACCCGTCTTGTCATGTGATTTTTTTATCATAATTTTAAAATTTTATCCATGTGAAATTTTACATTTTATACAACAATTTAATCTTGGAGTTTTTCGATAATCATGACATACCCTCTATACTCTATAGAATTAAAATTAAAGCGCATTTACAAATATTCTACCAACCACTTTTATTTGTATTTAGATTATAAATTTAAGTAATTACTGATTTTTTTTATTATTATGGTATGCATAATACTGGCTTATTGAGCTCATTCACCTTTTATGCTAATGTTTTTGAAAAAAATTGTCAAAAAGGACTTCACCAAATTTTATTTTGTAAAGAAAGACTCAGGAGAGATTTAATATTGAGGCTCTTTGCTAATATTAATTCATTAGATCAAATGACCATATTGTCCCTAAGAAAATATTACTCCTCCAAAAATTCTCTCCTCCAGTGAAAGCTTCTCCAGCCCTTGGTAAGTGTTTGCCTCGACAAGGTCTCCCCAACAACCACTGAGGAGAGTGAGCCAGTGTCTTTGAGTGTTGTTATGGTGTGTAAATTGTGCCACTGTTGCCACTATTATGTTTTCAATGTTGTTAATAAAAGGTGAGGAAACTATTAAATAGCAAATGAGCAGCCAAGTGATCGAACTCCATCGCGATCACTAACCTTGCAATTGCAAATTTATCAAAAAGAAAGACACTTACAATCAAAGTCCATCACTGCCCATACCACATTTCTTCAAGGTTTCTTCCACAATCTTCTTATGTTACCCACAACTTTTCAAGTCCCAGGATCCGTGGCTTTTGTTTGAGTTTGTAGTTGAAAGTATGGTTCCTAGGAAGTTCGTTGAATGATCACAAACATTTTGGTAATCAGTTTTCATTTTATGATTATATTGATTTTTATCAAGTACATGACTTAATTAAGTTGAATCTGGGTTTGATGTGGTATTTGAATGCATACTTTTTGTTTATTTAGTTAAATTAAGTAAAAAAATTTAGTCCATGAAAGAAAGTTGCAATGGATGATTCAACTTGTGATTTCACTTCTAGTTGATTAAAAGATAATGGTCTTTGTGTTTTGCTTGGGAGCTTGTATATATCCAAAGTTATTTTATAGTTTAAGTGAAAGACTTTCTATAAATAAGGACTTTTGATACAACTATGTCAGGTGCTTTCTTGGTCCTTATAGATAGGAAATTTGCTTGGTTACTTTAAAAGCTTCTTGTTCAAGTAGGAAATTTGCTTGGTTATTTTAAAAGGATTTTTCATCTCAGAGCATATGTTGTTACTAAACAACCATTAATTGAGAATTGTTTTTAAGAATATGTTTGACATTTATTTTTCTTATCCTATATTTTGATCTAGAAGAAACCTCAAGTTATATTATTATTTGTTGCAAAGGATGCCTAGGACTGAGGTTGTGTCATGTAAACTATTTGCTCATGCAAGTCTATAGACATATTAATGTAGAATTCTAGTATACTGTTTCCACCTTCATTAGGTCCTAGTTGATCATGTCTATGACACACACATATAGTATATGGCCTATTTTTTACACTTACCCCATCTCCAAGGATATGATAGAGGATGAGATTAATGGATTTAGCTAGAACTTATCTCAGCAATGATTCTATATTTTATTAAATTTTTACTTTATCTAGTATAAAGAAGATAAATCAATCTATGAATTACATTTGATGAAACTTGTTGTTGTTCAGACTTTAATTTTTTCCTTTTGTTTATAGTTTTCAACTCTCTTCTATTGTTTTTAGTTTTTCACAGGTTCAAATGTAAGAGATAAATTTCTACGAGTAAAAAGAAAAGTTTAAATTGTTGTATAGGGATAGACCTTGAGCAACCATCTAGAGAATGTCAAGAGGAAGGCAATAGGAATCTTGTGATTGTTGAGGCAGTTGATGGAGTAGATGTTGAATCTTGCTCACCACTACATTTTTATTGACAATTATAATTGGAATGGGGAAGCAAGCTCACCTCCTTACTTTTACTATGAGAATGTTACACGTGTTTATAAAGGTGTTTGGCAAACATATCTAGGTTCTTGTATTATTTTGTTTGTAATATATATAGCTTATATTGTCAAGAGATTAAAAACACGTTATTGTTTAATAATAAAATTGTTGATATTCAATTATTGTTCTTTATGTTGTAAGTGGGGTGATTAAACTTTACATATAACAATAAAACCATTAAGAATATCTTTGGTGTTTCATGAAAAAGAATCAAATTTTCAGGATAACCATTAATGTTTTTAGCATATCCATAAGTGTTTTCATGAAAATGAATAAATTTTTCGTAATAACCATATGCATTTTCAAAGTATCATTTAGTGTTTTCATGAAAAATGAGTAAGTCATATGTTAATACATATATATTCAAATGTCCTTTAAATGTATCATAAAAACATGTGTTACACAAGATCTGAAGCACGTTTTTCAAGATATCACAAATGAATATCATGAAAATGAATATCTATTTCCATTTCATTATCTTTAAGATTCCATTTTATTCAAATATCCCTTATCGATATTTGAAAAATGAGTTTAGGACCCTTATTTTTTAGGATATCTCC